AGGCTGCCGGACCTGAGCGGGCCCCGCCATGGCCCGCCAAGGCTGCCGGACCTGAGCGGGCTCCGCCATGGCCCGCCAAGGCTGCGGGTCCTGAGTGGCCCCTGAGGGCTTTAGGCTCCTCTGGGTTCTTACACAGTTTAATTCCATATTGATAGAAAGTTTCTGAACCATCTGGACTCTTCTATCTTCAGGAATGAATCCAGATGTTCTGTCTCTCTCCTGGTTCTGGTTTCATGGATTTTTCATACTAAGGTTTATGTTTCTACATCAGTAGACGACACATTAATTATAAAGGTTATTATTTATTTTTTTATTGGTATTTTAACAAGCAGCTAAAGGAGAACTGTGGAAAAGTCAAGTCAGACATGAAAGCTGTGTAGGAATCCTGGAAACCTGAACTCTGACGGGTCAAAGGTGTTTCCTGTTCGGACCCGTGGCCGCCTTATGGACCAGAACCATTTAGTGAGACACCAATTATTATCCAAAGCAATGGGGCAGCGGCGCGGCGCCCTCTGCTGGCTGACTATCAGAATGCAGGTCCAGCAGAGCTGTGTGGAACCTGGAGGTTTCCCTTCCCGCATGCCGGTACCCCCCCCACTCAGGGCCGAGCTGGGAGGAGACGCGGTCCAGATGTTTCTGTGATCTTTCTTCTCACTGATGTTTCTTCCTGCAGGACGACTGAAGCTGACGGCCTGAGGGACGCTGAGAAGTCCAGGGAGACGGCGGGGTGTGGGACAGCAGCCAGAGGACCGTCCTCTGGAATCAACATTTCTACTGTCAGAAGACTGGACCTTACAGAGCGGGTCAGAATTGATCTGTGAGCGGAAACCATGATGAGGATGATGATGATGATGATGATGATGACGATGATGACGATGATGACGATGATGATGGACCGCCGAGACTCTGAGGACGCGTCTCCTAAACTGAACCCCCATTGCTCTTCCTATTTTCTCATGTTGCACTTTAATTTAGGTCGTTTTCTGAGTGACAGGTTTTTCTTTGAGGCCGACGG